GCACAACCCCACTAGAGAAAAATAAAATTTGAAAACAGAGGAGAAATGGAAATTGCAAAGCGTTTTGTTCTGGTTCATGGTCTATGCCTCTGCGCATGGAGCTGGTACAGGACTATTCCACTCCTCAAATCCTCCGGCCACCGTGTAACGGCATTGGATCTCAGTGCAAGCGGGATAAACCCCAAACAGCTCAACGAAGTTTCTTCGATGTCCGATTATGTTCAGCCGTTGATGGAACGCATGGCCTCCCTACCAGAAGAAGAGAAGGTGATTTTAGTTGGCCACAGTTACGGTGGCTTTGGCATTTCCTTGGCCATGGAGAAGTTTCCCCAGAAAATCTCTGCCGCCGTTTTTTTTTTTTAACTAACCTTTCAGTATCTGGAAACTACGTTGGGCCTGATTAATCCGGAATCGAACCGAGTCGGACCCCATAAGGCTCTGCCGCCGTTTTTGTAACGGCCTTCGTGCCAAACTCTGTATCTCCACCAGCAACTCAAGTCCAGGAGGTAATTGAAAAATCTCAACAATCAATTTTTCTCTCTCTCTCTCGGAAGTTTAAGACGAAATTTCAGCAGGTTTTTCTTTCATTTTTTGGTTGATTTTCTTGAAATACAGTTCTTCAAGAGGAACCCTGCAGAGAGCTTGATGGATTCCCAGCTCTGGTTCGATCAGGGGACAGAAAACCCCCCAACCTCTGCCTTCTTCGGACCAAAATACAGAGCAACCAATCTTTGCCAGAATTGCAAAGCAGAGGTGAGAAATCTATGATAGAGATCGATTTATCAATTTTTTTATTGGCCAAGATCTTGACTCGAAATTAAAATCTTAAAATCAGTGAGTATTAACTTGGCTAAACTGTTATGTGTTTTATTTTATGTTCTATGGATGTAGGACTTGGAATTGGCAGGAATATTGATGAGACCAAGTGGGCTATTCCTGCCAGATTTGGCAAAGCAAAGTCTACTAACGGAAGAGAAATTTGGGTCGGTAGACCGGATTTTTATCCTCTGTGGTGAAGATAAGGGGTTGAATGAAGAATTTCAGAGATGGTTCATTGAGAAGAGTCCACCCAAGGAAGTGAAGGTGATAAAAGGGGCAGACCACATGGTACCATTGTCAAAGCCAAAGGAACTCTGCTCATGTCTCTTGGAAATTGCTGACAAATTTAATTAAGTACTAATTGTTGAGTTATGGTTGAATAATTTCACCATCAGCTATATAACATTGTTATAAAGTTTTTTGTACTTTTAATTACATGTTTCACTTATTGCGGTAAAATTATTTATATTTTTAACTATATGTTTAGATTTCAATTTTTAATCTATATATATAAAAAGAATGGTTGAATAATCTCATATGATCTTTGTATATTTGTGAATTAAATAAAGAAGCTGAGCAGCTCAGCATCATGGTTTATGACATAATTACGAATCCCTTTTGGCAGTTAAATTAAACATAATATTTTAATTATTAATTATAATGGTATTAATTTAATAATAATTACTTTAAATTAATAATATCAATTAACCTCATATAGACTTAATAAAATAAAAAGTTTATGTGCAGTGAAAAATCTACTTTTTCCATATTATTTCTTTAACTTCTTGCTTCCATTTTACCTTTACTTCAGCTTATTATATTTCTCAACAATTATTTGCCCAAAACATAAAAGTCACTATTTATCTGATTCTATCTATTAGTGTATACCTCTTTATCAATCGTCCTTTATCTATTAATAATTTGTTATTTTATATTATAAAACTTTTAATTTTTAAATTACAAATTTCATCAATTTTTTTGTTAAAATGAAAATAAAATATTTATAGAATTAATCTTTAAATATTAAAAATATAATGATTTAATTTTAAAAAATTTTAAAATAATATATTAAAAATAATTAATAAATAACTTTACTATATATACGAGAATATAGTAATAGATATTTATAATTAAATCAAGTTATTAACTTAATTTTTAAAAATCTGATTGAGATTAAAAAAGAAATTTTAACTATATTTTTTTAATTTCTTAAATTTTCCATCTTAATTCAATTAAGAAAATTTTTTAATTTTAATTAAATTTTTTTTTCAAATTGAACTAATCACTTAATTTATTAAAAAGTATCTAAGATTGATTTAGTGTATGTAAAAAAATATAATATATAAAATTTTTATGTGAATTGCTATATATATATACATATTCAATTTAATATATGTTTATTGTTATCTTTTATTTATGATATTTATATTATATTATCAACCCGTCATTAGTTTGTTGTTAAAAATTAATAAATATTATTTATTTTGTTAACTTTTTAAATTGACGCACCAATTTATTATTTTTTAAGTTAGAATTTTATTCAGCCACTCTAAAAGTATTTTTTAGCTCTAATATTGTTAAGGGGCTCCCACGTCGGTTTGGTAGATGCTAATTTGTTGCTAATCCGGATGCGTGCGTACCAGTCTACGGCTCAGAGACTAGGTCCTTTATCCTTATCCAATTCAGCTCTCCCCATAGAAAAATATCCATTCCCATGGCAGCAAACTAAGACCTAGTACTGTTGTTTTACTTAAAACTTTTGGATTGCTAGTACTAAGATGACGCACTTTGTTCTGGTTCATGGGATTTGCCATGGAGCATGGTGCTGGTACAGGGTAATTGCCCACCTCAAGTCTGCCGGCCACCTTGTCACGCCGTTGGATCTCGGTGCTAGCGGGATCAACTCCAAACAGCTGAACCAACTTTCTTCCTATTCCGATTATGTGCAGCCGCTGATGGAATTCATGGCGGATCTGCCTGAGGAAGAGAAGGTTATCTTGGCTGGACACAGTTTTGGTGGTATAGCCATTTCCTTGGCGATGGAGAAGTTCCCCAGTAAAATAGCAGCCGCAGTTTATGTCACTGGGTTCATGCCAAATCTTGAATCTACGCCTGCAACCGCAATACTAGAGGTAAAATTTTAGTTTCCAAAATTGGAACAGAGAATTAGAAACTACTTAGGTAGCCTTCTTTTTTTTCCCAATAGGTAGCCATGATTAATGAAAAATCTGTTTAATTTATTAACTTAATAAATTTTCCACTACCAAAACAAAATATAATAATAGGAAAAAGAATAATTATTCTACGAAAAAACAAAACGGAGTCTTATGAACTGTTCTTTTTAATGTAATTGGGATGGTTTCTGGAAGCTAGTTCTTCAAAAGTGTCTTGGCGGAGCCCTTGCTGGATTTGCAGCTCTCTCATGACAACGGGCCAGAAAAGCCCCCGACCACTTGCTTCTTGGGACCCAATTACGCTGTAGCCAAGGTTTACCAAAATTCCCCAAAAGAGGTAATCGATACTACTCCTGTCCAAGCTTAGTTATTACATTTGCTAAATAAGAGTCTCTAATTTAGTTATCATATTTTCTAAATAAAAATAATATGTACACTACACACTTACATCGCCTGCAAATTTCCTAACATATTCAAGCCATAGTATTTTGGCAAAAACATTACGCTAAGTTTCCAAACTTATTTCAGATTTTTGGTAAATCCCTTAAATTTTTATTGCGCAAATAAGTCTTAAACTTGGTAATTTTATCAATTTAACTCTTTTTTTATACAGTAAACTTAATATTTCTCTACCTTATTTATGGGAGTAAAATATTAATATGTTATTACTACATAATAAGTATTAATTTTATTTATGTAATTAATATATAAACAGAAGTTAAATCTATTATAAAAAAGAGAGTTAAATTACTCAAATTGCCCCATTTAAAGATTTTCTTTTATTTTAATAAAAGCTCATGGGTTTAATTAAGAATTTAAAGTAAATTTAAAGATCTAACATAAGTTTTACCTATTATTTTATAGGATTTAGAACTGGCACAAACAGTGCTACGACAGGGCAAGTGGTTCATACCAGATTTATCAAAGGATTCTCTGTTGACGAAAGAAAATTTCGGGTCGGTTCATCGGGTTTATGTTGTTTGCAATGAAGATCTTATCATAAAAGAAGAGTTGCAGAAATGGTATATTGAGCACAATCCTACTCAAGACGTCAAGGTCATAGCAGGAGCCGACCATATGCCCATGTTTTCGAAGCCTCAGGAACTGTGCCAAGCCCTCCAGGAAATTGCTCAAAAATACGAGTGATATTGTTACTCAACTAAATTATAGTCCTTGATAAGAATGAAGCATTTTAGCTCAAGAAGTAATTTTGGATCTTTTTTGGTTTTTTATGCTTAAACATTCTGTTGTTCTTATGTTTTTGATAAGGTCAATTGAATCAAGTGGATGTTTAATAATAAATGTGCTAATGCAAATTAGATCAAATTGAAATTTTTGTTTCCACGGGAAAATCTACTGCATCGAGGGTTTTTTTATTTGTACTTGCATCTCACGATCATTAGATCCAGGGTTTTGAGGTGTTTTATTTTTTTTATAGGTAAATATGAATTGCATTGCATTTATAATATAATTTTTTTTGTTAATTTTAAAAAAATTAATAAAAAAACATATTTTAAGTGTTCACATCTAATTTCACTTAAATTTATTATCATGAGATTCTTACATAATATAAGAAATTACTAAAGAACATGATAATTTCAATTCTTATGTAATTTTTAAAAATATATCAAAACCTTTGCACTAATTAAGAAAGCACTTGCCATCGCCTATTTTCAAAAAAAAAAAAAAATTAAGAGAGCACTTGAGAATATTTATAAACCTTATGAATTGGTGTATAGATTTAAGATGATAAGTCCTATTCAAA